GAAGTGCCGGCATTTTCGACGTCTGACCGATTTGTCTAGTGGCCTCGACGTTTTGAAATGTTCTGGATCGATAGAACCCTTGCGAATCTCTCGATCCGCTCAGCTCGTTCAGCTCGTTCCTCTCATTTCTCCCGTCCCCATCGTCCAGCTCGTCCAACTCGTGCCGCCCGTTCAGTCAGTTCAGCCGCCCGCCCAGCTCGTCTAGTCGATGCGGCCTGGTCACTTCGACTGCGCATGTTTGCGTTCATGCCGGACTGAAGCTGCGAGCATGCTGCCAACACACATACACTCTTGGCCTGCACAATGACCTTTTTGTCCAAGAATCAGCATTCTGCATCCGCACACACATCGCGGTCATGTGCATGCGTGTGTGTGTGTGCATGCGTACGTACATATCCACGTGGCTTCCCTGTGTAGGTATGTTGTCAGTCTGCATGCCTGTCTACGGATGTGTGTGCGACAGTTATGTTGTTGTTGTTGCAGTGACTTTGCGAGTCCACTGTGAATTCGCCCGTGCGTGAACTTGCACTTCCAGGCTTGATGACAGCGTGCACCCGGTCAGAGGATGAAGTGAGCCGGTGTCTGGTCCACTCTTTTATTTCTCTCTCACACCTGTGCCCACATGCCCGTCTGTCTGCAGGCCATGCGCACACCACAGTTTTTTCGGTGCTTGCGTGTCTACACTTGAGGTCTGTCGACGACGCCTGTCTCGATGCCGAGGATATCAGACACTTGGGTGTCTCGGTGCCTCGCCGCATTTCTCCTTCGCTAGCCTAAGGCCTTATCAGCAAAGTGCCTGCGCTGGCGACTACGATTTGGGCGTACCAACGACGAAGCCAATCAGCGAGACGCGAGCAAGCGACCAGTCCCTCGTGCGTACGTGTCTATGTGTGTCTGTGTCGAGGCGACACGTTATCCGTCACTTCGTTTAAACGGGCTTCGTGAATTGGCCTCACCAAAGTCCTGTAGTCGCTACTTTACACTTGAGCGAAGATTACCTCAGTCCAATCTATTCCGATCCTCATCCTTATCCTCATCCACATCCACATCCACATCCACATCCACATCCACATCCACATCCACATCCACATCCACATCCACATCCACATTCGCATTCATATTCACATTCACATCCTTATTCTCCTGATCCTGATCCTGATCCTGATCCTGATCCTGATCCATCTGCCCCGTCATGTCAGAGAGAGAGGTGGGTGTGCTTTTGGTGGAGTTCGCCAAACACGCATTGCCACGGCTTAGCTCCGGCTACAGCTGCTATTAGCTAACTTTGGCCTTCGTGGCATTTCGTGGTTTGGCTGACTACTTATCTCCGATATGAGTAGTTTTTGAGGCTATTATTGATGTACGAATAAAAACGTGGCCACATTGTTGGACAGCTCACATTTCGTTCGAACGAACACATGTGCAGACAAGGTTCGTAGCTCGATTTCCTCAACATTTCCGTTGTACAGCTATCGGCCAGTTCTGTCTGAGCAGTTCTGCCTCCTAAGCGATCTCTTATGGCTCAGAGGAAAAAGATTTGACGTGTCCAC